CGGCAGGCGGACTCTCAACCACTGCGCCACCAGGGAAGCCCCTGAAATCTTTTTTTTTAATCATATTTTTAACGGTGCTTATGGTCACTTTCTCCCAAAGTGCTTCATTGCTCCCACCTAAGTTCAATGTAGCATCGCACATTGCTTTTTCTAATTTTTGAAAGGTGAACTCATCTGTAAAATCAATTAAAAACATGTGAACTAGTTGGTGCAAAATGGATTTAAAGCAAATGTCAGAAGAGATCAAGATTGTTGTTGTATTGTTGTTGTATCTCGCCTCTGTACTAATTTTGTGTACGAGTGCAGACGTGATCACATCTGTGCCCTAGTTAGGGGGGCTGACATACATATAATGTATCACTATTTCTCTATCCCTGTCCAGTTTTCTTTGCTTTATTTCTATTTTTGTATCTCTGCATACAGTCTCTAGATACAGTGTTCCCTCAAGCAGGATGTTTTGACATTTTGACACCATGTATATTTTGAACCAACTACCCCTTGATTGTCTTCCTTCTGTCGCATTTACCCTGCAGCTTTTCCATGGGCCAACTTTTCTATCCGTCATTCTTGTTTCTGACCTGTGTTGATGATACCTTTGATGCTGGAAGGGATGAGAGGGGTGTGATAGCAGCGCTTGTTCCATAGGAAGGAAAGCATGCCTGTATGTCTTGATGAAAACCAGATAGGCACTGACTGCCCCGAAGAAGGCAAAGGGTCCAGCTGAGATTTTGGTAATAATGGAGAATACCAAGTGCTTTCACATCCAGGTCTTGACCATACCCCGAGGAACTGTCAGCAACCCGTAGCCACTTGGTGTCTGCTACGTCCAGCAACATAAGAAGTGAGGTAAACCAGGGGTGCCCTCAAAGGCAAGAAGAGTGTGTTGTAAAACAGCCCCACTGCCTCATTCTTTGCCCTTTGGTTCATATGCACTCCTTTTGCTTAGCTGTTGGACCTTAGAACACATATACTCATTTATTTAAAGTAGGGGAAGCCCACTAGTCAGGATTCATGTCTGTAAGTCCGTGTGGATAGCCAAGTCATCATGAGGAATTTAAGCCTAGAGTCTCTGGACGCATTGCTACCAAACAGTAATATCCTTGCATGTTTTAGAATAGAGGCAGATTCTTCTTGGGGATATAGATTCCCTCAGTCCTCTTGTTCCAAAACAAGTCAATTGTATCTATACTGATACAATTTTTGTTGATCTCTGCAGATATTTTGGGGGCTGTGTTCATACTTGGGGCCTCACTTCTCAGCAGATGTTATGCAGCTCCAAACGCGCTCTCTGTAGCCGTCAGCACAGTTGTGATCAGCCTTCTTCTGATTTAGGCTTGTCGTATCTGACGTTGAAACCCATCCTTTAGTCACACAATGCGGAGGCTGTACGTTCCACCCACCACCTTCTTTCCTTTTGTGCAGATGGTTATTAATTGACTAGATAAGCACAGGACTTTACGCATGGCCTGATTCACTCATTTCCTTTAAACTCATTCCCGATGTGCAGCTGCTCATCCTGTAGTATCACCTCTCCGCGTTCGATTTTGAGGGGAAAATGTCTCTACTTTCATTTTAATGGAAATCATAGGTCTCTTATCACCATTTCCAATTGCTTTTGTTCTTATCACACAGGATGAGATTAACAATCTTCCTAAAACACCCCAGAATGAAGCCCAAGTCACTGTAAATTAAGGACAAGTGACACCACTCAATGGTGACACCATGTGTGTGGGGGTGCACAGAACTGAGGCGCTTGAGCCTCTAGAATGTAGCTTGGGTGAGCGTTCAGAATTGCTTTGTGAAAATGTTGTTACCTGTTCTCTCCTTTGGTAGAACTATGATTTTTGAATCACGTCTGCTTTAATATCGCTGTATGTCAGTTGTGAACCGCAGTCTGCTGTGTCTCAGTTATGTACATGAGTCGGGACCAAGTTATATGCCGGTACGAGTTCTGTGTGGATGAGACAACAGGACGCCTGAGCAAGGGCTCCTCCTCTAGTGATGCACACTTCACACACAGTTCATACCTTTTTGGTCCTTAGTTTTCTGATCAGTATCACTAAGGCTGAATTACATGATCTCCAGCCTTAAAATGGTATTGTTTCATGAGACAATAATTATCGTATTTTGGTAAAATTTCAAAGTCACAGTATAAAGGTCAGTGGCCCAAAGTTCTGTTATTGAACTCTTGGTTATCCCTGAGCATTACGACATAGTTTCTCACCTATAGACTTATTTGTGTGAAGTAATTACTATGTTCTGGACATGGAACCTGACATTGGGGATTAAATAAATCAGACCTTTTTTCTTGCTCTCTATAGCATAAGCTGAGTACTTTTAGCTCCCTCCTGCAGTTCCAGTTTAAAAGTCTGTTGATCAGGTCGGTGGATTTCATTTATTCTTTCTTTCATTCTTCTTAACCTTATCAAGGTGGCTACAGCAGTTTTCTTCCAAAGAGCTCTTTCCTCAGCGCCGGCAGACTGTGAGCATGAAGCGGGAGGCTGCTTTTCGACAATCCTCTCCATCACTGGCGTTTTAGCTGTCTGTTCAGCTGCAGGCTTCCGCTGGCAGAAGCAATGAGAATGTCCTATGCCCTGCTGTTCTCCTGGTCTCCCCAGGAGTTTCACCTTCTCAAGTTCAGGAGCTTGGTCCTGTGGGCATTCAGTCTGCCTGTGTCTCCGTCCTTTCCTCCTCCACTCAGCACCAGTGACCAGCCCCAGAGCAGACCTCTAAGAAAGCTCCTCGATCCTTAGGGCATTCTTCCAAAAGCTTTATTCCTGGGAAAGTATACATTTTGTAAATGATGCATGTCCCTGGCAAGTCTAAAAACATTTTGCTCCTTCATTTATGAAATAGTAGTAGATTGTCTTGAGTGTCAACATTTCACAGCTATTTATCTGTGTTACAATTTAAAATATCAGGTCTTAAGATGTGGACAGTTTTGCCAGAGATATCAGTATGCAGCGAAAAGCTAGGCAGTTTAGGTAATGTTGTAAGTGGTAGAAATCTAGAGATGTATCACTGCCATAAAAACATCTTAGTCTTTTAGAAATGCCAACCTAAAAAAGTTAAAATGGCCAGAAACACCAATCTAGGAGAGCTAATAATTTCTGATCAGGAAAAAGCCTAGTTAGAAAGATTGCTTGTTATCCTAAAGTAAACCAAATTGGAGGTTTGGAGTGGGAAAATAATCCATTGAGGGGATCTAGTTTGTCTTTTTTCATAGCTTTTTTGCTCATAAACAGAGTAGCCAAGAAAATTCCTAACCACTAATTACTGTGGTATAAAAATTTTATAAATTAAATAACATTAGAAGTCCACAAAACATGAAAGGTTCTGTAGAACCAGTGATTTTTAAAAACATGTCCAATGCATTATTAGAAAAACAAAACCAAAAACTGTGATTGAGTTCACATAGGTATTCAAGAAATTGTTTAAAAATTTTCTTCCTGGGTATATCACGTTGCTAATAAGTCTGGGGATTTAAGGGCCTGAGTGTGGATGAAAGTGGGAAAATAGATGAGCTTCTAACAAGAGGTATTTATATTCTCTGTGCTTTATCATGAGACATGGAAAGAATTTGTTGAAATGTCTTAAATTTAACTTCTACTGGCATCCAGGTTAACCTTAAGGTTTCAAAAAAAATTTTTTTTTTCATTTTTTAGTGAAACAACAGTCAAGTCAGAAGAAGCGGATAAAAATGGACAGCCTTTGCTATTTCTCTCTGTACCAGAGATTAAAGTTAGGAGCTTTGGGCAGCTGTCACGTGTGTTGTATATTGCCCAAAATACGAAGCTGGAGGAAGCACAAGCATGTATTGAAGGTGATATTTACACTCCAATCTGTGATTTGCACTTTCAGAAACTTAATCTTGGGGACGGGGGAGGGAATCATTTCTTACAGTCTCTTGCAAAAAGTTCTCTAACCTAAAAGGTAAAAAGTACTATGTTCAACTTGATTTATTGATTTAAAAATGTCATTGATTTATTTTGGCTGAAATGTTATGCTCATATCAGATTTCTACTTTAAATGAGAAGCCTAATGCTTTACCATTAGTAAGCTTCGAGATTTCTAATTTTAGTGTGTCGTTTAAAGAGAGCCTTCTTAGCTCCTGGAAAGACCTGACGCCTTTAAGGTTCACGTCCGGGGAAAAAACAGATGTCCGGGGCCAGGACCAGAATCCACCCTCTCATCTTGCATTCTGCTGTGATGGATGGTGATTTGTTTCCTTTAAAATGAATGTAGCCTCTCGCTTTAGCATACGGCCCATAATAATCTCGCTTTCCTTTTGTCCCAGCCCTTTGCATTGTGGAAATACACAGCTTTCTGTGAATAGTTACATTCATCCAGTGGGAAGTATTTTTCCTCTTCACTAAAGTTATATAATGTTCTTATTATTGTCTAATCGTCTAACATGCAAAAAAGAATGTGATCGATCACCTGCTACAATTGGGCTCTAAGTATTTCTTACGAGTAGAAATACCTGACAATAGGTAATTATGTCATATATGTGTTCTGCTTCTTTGGAATCGTGTGACCAGTGGGTCCCAGGCATAAGGTCCCTCATCTGTCTCTCATCATTCTTTGCCACTGTCCGTGGCTGTGAGGTGGAAAGTTAGTCTTTTTTTTTTTAAGATGTGAACCTTAGAACAGCAGCTTCTTTTTACATCTTGACTGCTCTCCCTGTACATCAAAGCTACTTTTCTGAGAGGGATGAAATCTTGAGAATAAAAGTGAATTTAAGAAGAGTCTGTAGACGCATGGCTGTTCATTAAATTCAACTTAATATGTAAACTTAATCCATAGTTCGTACGCCCAGAGTGTTGTAGGGTGTTGTACACCCAATCTGGCTAAATATGTATCCTTTGCTGCATTTTGCCCTTTCTGTAAGAGTTCTAGGTACAAGTCTTCGTTTTTGGTCCAAATTGCGTGGTACCTGGCAATTTGGAAGTCAGCTTTGTGTCTTTCCCCAGAATTCACCTAGTATCTTCATAATCTTTAGAGACGACAGCTCTAAGGTGATGAGTGGAGATGCTCACTAAGTGGTTGGTTCCCAGGCCTCCTTCCCTTGCTCCCCGCAGGACTCTCCTGCTGGCAGTCTGCGTCCTGTGGGAAAGTTAGTGCCCTCGCTGTGCTTTCCAACAGGTCAGGCTTTCTGAATTAGTCCCATAGGCATCCCCCAACCCATCCAAATGCATATAGATTTTCAGCTGAGTTGAATTCCTCCTTTCTAAACACGGTTTTGCCCCTTTTCCCCTCATTTTCAACCATATAGTTTTTTGGCCTTTATTAAATTCTGTTTTCAACATCTCTAGGTTCAACTTTCATCCTTGATCACAAGTTGGTATTTAGAATTTTCACTGTGATTTTGGCATGTTTGTAAATACTGGTTAGATTTGTTTTCCCAACTAATGTCAAAAGACATTGAAAATATAAGCAGTTCAGACAGGTGGAAAAGATTGGCAGTAGATTTGTAGACTGAGAAAAACATGCTATTTTGGAGAGAAAGCATTTGTGAAATCTGTTCACTGGTGTATACACACACACACACACACATGCACAAACACACACACACACACACACACACACACACACACACACACACACACGGCTCTAGTGATCATTCTTCTAAGGAGACCAGTATTTCTCTACCTTCAAATCAATTCTGAATGTATTGATTGAGTGCCTCTTCTGAACAATGCCCCACAGTCAACTTAAAAAAAAATAGACCTCTTAGCTTCTGTCCTGTTAGGGTGATAGCATATAGAGATGATATTACAGTGCAAGTAAACATCTCAAGAGGTGTGAGAAAGTTCCTAAGTACAGTAAAATCTGAGAAGTAGAGATTAATTCAAATTGGGTCAATCAGAGAAAGTTGAATGAAAGACACACATTTGAGTGGCTCCAAAGGATTTGATAGTCGCTATGGTTCTTGCAATAGAAGACAAGAAGATAATTTTTTTTTAATTCACTTTTTTGGTCAGCAAACAGAAACCCCATAGCAAAAATCCTTGGCTTGGATTATAATATGATAAAGGAAATAAATGAAGACTCATCTGTATTAACTATTCTTGATAAAATTACCAAAGATGGTGATCCTGAAAGTGAGATTAAGATGAAGATTGCCCTGCTACTCAAGCAGCTGGATCTGCACCTACACAATCGTTCTCTGAAAAATATTTCCCTGTGAGTCTTTTTTTCAAAAAGAAGCCTCTAAAAATTGGTTATAAAAAGTACTTTCAGAGCTTTAGGGAAAAGACACAAGAAAAATAAAGTTTGGAAGTGGTTGCTATTGATTTAACATATTTTTTGGAATAAAATTTTAGTTATTGCATGAAGATTTCTAATTCTAAACAGTACAGTTTTCAGTTAACATGGCTAAAACATTGTAGTGGAGTTTCATCTTAATTCTGAAGACATTAAGTGGTCTTGTTATTTTCAAAGTCTCTTAAACTATTAGATAAATTTAAAAATTACAATGCACTTATCGTGTAGAGTTTATCAAGTTTAAAACTTGTTCATTTGTCTGGTCTTTTCTAGTACTTTGGAATTATCATTAAGAAATGAAGTGAATATTGAAATGAGTATTTAATGTTGCATTCAACGCGAATCACTGATTCTTTGATGTTTTGACAGTGTTATAACACTGTAACCTGGTTAAAATTCACTGTAATTTTGTTGTCGTATAATTTAACTGATATTTTAATTACAAAAAAAGATATTCCCCCTGATATAATGAAATGTTTTCATGTTTTCTGTAGATTCTGTTTTAAAGTATTTAAAATGAGTTTCTAAACATTTATTTCAGAGAAATACGATTAAATCCAGGGACTGTTAAGAATGATATAGAGCTGCTTAAACGGTCCTCAGGAAAGGGAGAAAAGACAGTCTTGGAATCTATCGAGTACACCTCAGGTTCATTTTATATTATATATATTTTCATAATTATATTTTCAAAATGCTTCAGTAGCTACATTAAATATTTAAGAAATGAAAACTTAAAATTTCAATCCTATTTTTTTGAAGCCAACCTGTTTTACAGGTTGAGGTTAAGGAGCTCCTTTTAATTGATTGATAATTGGTTTCAGATTACGAATTTTCAAATGGATGTCGAGCCCCGCCTTGGAGACAAATTCAAGGGGAAATTTGTTATGTGCTGGTGAAACCACACGATGCTGACGCTTTGTGCATTACTTGTAGCAAAGAAGGAGTGTTTTTAAATGGTGTAAGTAATTTTTTAAAAACCGTATTGACTTTGGTCTCTGTCAGTGCAGGCATGTCTCCAGGATTGAATCCCAAAACCACAGAAAATGAAGTGTGTTCTGTGGGATTCATGCAGATCCCTTTGCTGTGTGTTTGCTGTCTCTGTGTCCCCTTGCAGGTCCTTAAGTCAGTATTCTAGGCAATGGCCTTCAAAGTGACCCGTTCCACTAACTACAGCCTCTTTAACATAATCAGTTTGCTGATTAATGACACAAGTATTTAAGGAAAGACAAGTCGATAAAGGAGCACCGAGGTAATGCGGAAGCAGTTGGAAGAGTTGAGGGGACAGACGGAAGGGCAGGGAGGGGACCCACACGCGGGAGCCTGGAGGATGTGCCCCCGGAGTTGGGGCCTCCGCAGTCTGGGGCCTAAGCGGCTCCGGGCAGGGCCCGTGCAGACTGGGACTCAGACCCCTGAGGCGCAGACCCTGCTTGCGTGGGTTCACACGTCTGGAGAATGGTCACCTCCAGGCCGTGCTGGTCCCCTCGGAGCCCAGGAGTCTCCATGGAACCGGCCCCGGAGCCCTGAGGAGTAAGCAGCGCCCAGTTAGGGTTGGTGGTGCAGGCGCTGGGGCAGGCTGGGGCAGAGCCTGGCCTGGGCCTCTGACGGTGGCCCGGGGCGGCTGTTAGTGGGGTATCTGAGGGGTCACGGTGAGCCTGGTTCTGGGCCTCTGGGTTCTTCCAGAGGAAATTAGAACCAACTGTTGCTACTGGGAGCAACTGCCACTGCCGGGTGAGGGGCCGTTGCTAGGTGGCTCTGACAGGACGTGGGAGGGAGCATGTCCCTTCTGCCTCGTCCAGCCTCCCCGCTGGCCTCTCCCCTGCCGGCCTCCCTCTGCCGGCCTCTCCCCGCCTGCTGCCCGAGACTCAGCCGGCCTGGCAGCGGAGAAACACAGCTTTGCAGGCTCCCGGCCCGAGGATCGCAAAGCAGAGTGTGGGCGGTGGGCCTAGACCTGAGAGAGGCGGCACATGGCATTCTGGATCCTCTGGATTAAAACCTTGACACTGAGCCTCACGTCTGCTGACTGAACTTGGCTAGAAGGAGCTCAGCTTCCTCTGAAAACCCGGCTCTTGCTGTCTTCCATGTAAAACTGGGGCTCGCAGCAGAATCCTGCAGGGAGGGTCCAGATCCTTAATGGGGACCCAGCTATCGCAGGGCGCCATTGGAGCCTTGGCCTGGGCCGCTCTTGACATGCGGCCGTGTTCTCGGCGGCGGGGCTTGTCTTCCGACCTGCCTTTCGTGCTTGTCCCATCAGCGTGGTCCCGGGCTTATTTCTGCACAGAGGAGCCAGACAGCCTGACTATGATTTGCTTTCGGTTTGCTTTGATGCTTTAGAAAAGCGAAATCTCTAACCGGAAAATAAGAGCTTAGAGAAAAAAAGGAATGCTTCTCTTGGGCCTTCCAGAGTGGGGCAAGGAGCCTTTGTTTCTGTAAAAGGCTATTGACGCACGTACAACTTTATTTGACATGGAAACATCTGAGTGTTTCTCTCAGGTTAAAGAATGAAAGACAAGGATCTGAAGCTGTTCAGTCGTTACAAGAAAATGTATAACACACTACAGTTTACATGTATCTGTATGTTTTACATATATATACAGTTATACATGTAACACTACAGTTTTTATGTGTATATGTATGTGCAAACACACACACATATAGGGTGAAGGAAGAGTAATAGTAGGAAAGCAAAGTGAAATGAGGAACGGAAAGAGAGAAGAGGAGAGACGGAGGCTGAGGGTGGAGGGACAGGTGGTCACATAGAGGTCCCACCCCTAGAAAATGAGCCCATAGCAATCTCGCTCCACACGCAGCAGGGGTAGGGTGAGACCAACAGAAACACAGCCTTTTATGTGGTGACATTCTAACCTCCAGGCCTTCTATGACTTCGTCAAAAGCTCTTGAAGTCATAATGCATTTTCACAGGAGAGAAGTGGGAAGGGAGCTTTCAGGTCTCTGCTGGATAGCAGCGTGCCCTGTGCATCTAGGGGGCACTTGGTAAAGGCTTGCTGAACGAATGAATGAATGAACGAATGAATGAGTAGGTAACATTAAGAGGGAAGGGTGTGCCTGTACATTTCGTGTGTAAAGACTACCGCGTGGATCCTTTAGAGAAGAAAACAATACTTGTGCTTGGGTTGTGATGTATTGGTCAGGTTCTTATATCGCTCATCCATTAATTATAGCACCAAACTTTTTCTTCCAAAGGGCAAAACAGATGATGAGGGGGAAATTAATTATGAGAGAAAAGGAGAAATTTATAAAGACCTTGTCACACTTTTAAGAGAGAAATCAGCAGTATTTTCTGAAAATATGTCTCAACAGGTAAGTTTTACAGTCTCTTTTGAACTCTCATAGCATTCTACTTTTGGCTACAACTTTCTATAGCATAAAAAATTGGAGAGTAATTCTGCCTTGTTTTGGACAGTACTTTCAATTATTGGAGTGTTTTCCACAATATAAAGCAATAAATACTGTAAATGTAGCAATTTAAGAATGTTTCTGGTTTTCTTTAGGTGACAGGTGTAATATTTCAAAGTGCTTTCTAAATAGGACTTTTTCATTTTCCGTCTTGAATTAATTACACTAAGAACAAGGGACTCCGGTCTGTTAATGAAGCCTAGATGTTTTGATTATTTTTATCCTTTCTGGGAATCCCATGACTGCTACCTAGTTGGATTGTCTTAATAAGTGTGTCAACTGCGTGTGTCTTAAGAGCTGTGCTTTTGTGTCTTCCATGGTTTGTGAAATAGTGCTGGACAAAGAAATCAGTCAGTATATTTTGTGAAAAAAATTTTGGTTGAAGCTGATGTAGGTAAGAAATGATATGCAAGGAACACGAGTGTGGTTCCCTTATGCTCCAGGCTGATCCTCAGGCTGAGGGCAATTCCACAGAGCCCACAGGGCTCACTGATCAGGTCCATCGCCTTTCTGCCCCTGCTGCTTGTGGAGCGCCCCGTTTTCTTGTCAGACTGCTGTCACTCTCATCCTGACACTTTGTCATCATTTTGTGAATTCTTTTTGTTTCCCGGTGTTTGATCACTTGTTTCCTGGACCCCAGTTTTCCGTTGTTGTTGCACTGCTGTTATTGTCCTAAAGTACATATATACATAAAATATAAAATTTGCATGTTAGCCATTTTATGTGTATCATTCAGTGGCATGGAGTACATTCACAAAGTTGTGCAGCCGTTACTACTATTTCCAAATCTTTTTCATCATCTGAAACTGAGCGATAACTCTTCATTCCTCCTCCCCCAGCTCTTGGTAACCTCTAATCTACTTTCTGTCTCCATGAATTTACCTATTCTAGGTATTTCATCTAAGTGGACTCATACAATATTTGGTCCTTTTGTTTTGGCCTATTTCACGTACCGTAATGTTTTCAAGGTTCATCCGTGACGTGCCCATATCCGAACTTCATTCCTTTCTATGGCTGAATGATATTCCATATATGTATATACCAAATTTTGTTTATCTGTTCATCTATTGATGGACACTGGGTTTTTCCACCTTTGGTTATTGTGAAAGATATTATGAATATTGGTGTACAAATATCTGTTTGCGTCCCTGTTTTCAATTCTTTTGGGTGTACACGTCCGGGTGGCATTTCTCAGTCATACGGGGGTAATTCTACGTTTAACTTTTGGAGGAACTTCCAAGCTGTTTCCACAGCAGCTGAACCATTTTACATTCCCAATGCAATGTATAAACATTCCAGTTTCTTCACATCCTCACCAACACTTGATATTTTCTGTGTATGTTTGTGTTTATTATAGACATCCTAATAAGTGTGAACATGGTGTTGCATTGTGGTTTTGATTTGCATTTCCCTAATAATTAGTGATGTTGAGCATATTTTCATGTGCTTATTGGTCATTTGTATATCTTCTTTGGAGAAATGTCTATTCAAGTCCTTTGTCCATTAAAAAAATTAAATTGTCTTGTTGTTGAGCTAGAGTTCTTTATATATTGGGGGTATTAATTCCTTATCAGGTAGAAGATTTGCAAATATTTCCCCCTATTCTATGAGTTATCTTTTTACTCATCTTGATAGTGTCCTTTGGTATACAAACATTTTAAATTTTGATAAAGTCTAATTAATATATTTTTTCTTTTGTTACCTGTGCTTTTGGTATCATGTTTAAGGAACCATTGCTAAATCCAAGGTAATAAAGATTTGCCCTGAAGTTTTCCACTTTAAGTGGAAAGTTTAGGTCTTTGATTCATCTTGAGTTAGGTTTTGTATGTGGTGTAAGGGACAACCTTCATTCCTTTGCACATGGATGTTCAGTTTTCCCAGCACCATTTGTTGAAGACACTGTTCTTTCCCCACTGAATGGTCTTGTCATCCTTGTTAAAAATCAACTGACCATAGATTTCAAGGTTTATTCTTGGGCTCTCAATTCTATTCCATTGGTCTGTATGTCTATCTGTATACCAGTCCCGTACTGTTTTGATTACTATAGCTTTGTACTAGTTTTAAAATCAAAGTGAGTCCTCAAACTTTGTCCTTGTTTTTTCAAGACTGTTTTGGTTATTTGGGGTGCCTTGATTTTCTATATGAATTTTAGGCTTCGTTTTACCATTTCCACAAAAAAACACCATTGAGATTTTGATAGGGATTGTATTGAATCTGTAGATTGCTTTGTATAGCACTGTCATCTTAACAATATTATCTTCTAATCCATGAACATGGAAAGTTCTTCCATTTGTTTGTGTCATCTTTAACTTCTTTCAGCAATGTTTTATAGTTTTCAATGTATAATTCTTTTGACTCCTAAGTATTTTATTCTCTTTGATGCTATTGTAAATGGAATTGTTTTCTTCGTTTCCTTTTTGATTGTCCACTGCTAGTGTATAGAAATACAACTGATTTTTGAGTGTTACAATCAGATTTGATTTTTGAATGTGAAGTTCAAAATTGAATCCTGCAACTTTGCTGAATTTATTTAATTCAGTTTCTTTTGAATCTTTAGGTTTTTCTATATATAAGATCAAGTCACCTGTGACCAGAGATAGTTTACTTTTTCCTTTCCAATTTGGATGTTTTAAATTTCTCTTTTGTGCAAAATTCCATGGCTAGAACTTTCAGGACTATGTTGAATAGAAGTGGTGAAAGTAGATTCCTTGTCTTACTCCTTACTCCTTAGAGGAAATGCTTTCAGGCTTTTGCTACTGAATATGATGTTAGCTGTGGGCTTTCCATACATGGCCTTTATCTTACTGGGGAAGTGCCCTTCTCATCAGTCTTCTTTTTCTTGGTCCACCCCATCATTTTGGTAGCACTTCCTGAGTAAAAGAGGCACATAGGAGGGAAAAAAATTGAGGGTTAGCATGTTGGAAAATATCTTTATTCTTCTCTCTCAGTTGTTTCTATAATGACAGTTTGAAAATAATTTTTACTTAGAATTTTAAAGGCATTTTTCCTATGTGACCTGTTTGTTTGGGCTTTTCCCATATTATGAGGCTTTAGGATTTTCTCTTATCCCTGATGTTCTGTAATTTTCATGATGATATGGTTGGTGCTGGTTTTTGTTTGTTTTTCATTAATGATGACATATGTCCTTCAGAACTGGAAAAATATTTTCGTATTATATCTTTAATCATTTTTTTTCCTCTCTGATCTTTTTTGTTCTCTTTTTGAAACTTCTGGTTGGATCTTGGGACCTCTGGGACTGATCCGCTGATTTTCTTTTCTCTCATGCACCCTACCACACTTTCTGCAAATATTCCTTTACTTTGTCTTCCAAACATTGTACAAATCTTTAAAACTTAAGCTCTTATGTTTCTAATGTTTTGTTTTGGGGTGTTTATTTTTACAGACCACATGCTTTCATTTCTCTTGGGTAAAACCTCAGACTGAAATGGCAAGGTTATATGGTGGTTATATGTTTAACTTTTTAAGCCATCGGTAAACTGCTTTCCAAAGGGGTTATAACCATCTCCATCCGCTTTGGCAGTGCATGAGATTGACAGCTGTGCCACATACTCATCAGTAAGTGGTATGGTCAGTCCTTTATTTTAGATGTTCTAATAGGTGTGTACGGATATCTCACTGAGTTGTAATTTGCATTACTTGAATGCATCCTTTCATATGCTTATTTGCCATTTATATATCTTAAGTGGTAAAGTGTATATTCAGATCTTTTGCCCATTTTTTATTGGATTGTTTGGTTTCTTATTACTGAGTTGTGAGATATACATACATACATACACACATATAGACTTATATATTCTTTCAGATACAGGATTTATAAATAAATATTTTCTCCCAGTTTGTAGCTTGTTATTTCATTCTCCAAAAAGAGTTTTTCAAAGAGCAAATGTCCTCAATTTTGATGAAGTCCAACTTATTATTCTTTTATAGTGTTGTACCTAATAAAGCTTTACCAAACCCAGTGTTACAAAGATTTTCTCCAGTGCTTTTTTTTTTTTGGCGGTACACGGGCCTGTCACTGTTGTGGCCTCTCCCACTGTGGAGCACAGGCTCCGGACGCGCAGGCTCAGCGGCCATGGCTCACGGGCCCAGCCGCTCCGTGGCATGTGGGATCTTCCCAGACCGGGGCACGAACCCATGTCCCCCGCATCGGCAGGCGGACTCTCAACCACTGTGCCGCCAGGGAAGCCCTCCAGTGCTTTTTTATAGAAGATTTTAAATGTTAGGTTTTACATTTAGGCCTATGATCCAATTTAATATATTTTTTGTACATGATATGAGGTATGGATCAAAGTTCATTTTTTTCTTTTGCATGTAGATATCTAGTTGTTCCGGCATCATTTGTTGAAAAGAATTGTCCTTTCTTTGCACAGTTGTCCATTTATCTGGGTGTATTTCTGTTCCATTGATCTATTTGTCTATTTTTATACCAGAACCACACTGTCTTGATTACCTACTTACTTGCATGAAGTCTTGGGTCAGGTAGTGTCAATCCTCTGATGTTGCTTTTGTTCTCTGGAGTTGCTGGCTATTCTATATCTTTTGCATGTCCGTTTGAATTTTATAGTCAGCTTGTCAATTTCTTCATCAAACCCTGAAGGAATTATGACTGATCTTGTGTTGAATCTATAGATCAACTTAAGAACTGACATCTTAACAATATTGGGGTTTCCAATCCATGGAACACAGTATATCCTTCCATTTGTTTAGTATTACTTAGCATGTCTCTTCATCTTATTTAATTTCTCTCAGCATTGCTTTGTAACTTTTGGCGCACATGTCTTACACATCTCTGGTGAAACTTATCTGTAAATATTTCCTATTTGGGAGCTATTGTTAACAATAGTTTTAAAATGTCAATTTCTGGTTATTTGTCACTACTATAT